GTATCGATACCACACTAGAGATCTTGTAGTCGTGGTATCGATACCACACTACGAATTTTGTAGTCGTGGTATCGATACCACACTACGAATTTTGTAGTCGTGGTATCGATACCACACTACGAATTTTGTAGTCGTGGTATCGATACCACACTACGAATTTTGTAGTCGTGGTATCGATACCACACTACGAAGCTTGTAGTCGTGGTATCGATACCACACTAGGGATGTTGTAGTCGTGGTATCGATACCACACTACGAATTTTGTAGTCGTGGTATCGATACCACACTACGAAGCTTGTAGTCGTGGTATCGATACCACACTAGGGATGTTGTAGTCGTGGTATCGATACCACACTACGGATGTTGTAGTCGTGGTATCGATACCACACTACGGATTTTGTAATGGTGTCAACTCCGGGCTACGAGATAAGCATTGGTGGTGATGGCATGATGTGTTGAAACTATCCTACCAAGCAAGCAGGACTCCAGGAGTGGGAAACCATGCCTATGAAATACTATGCGGAATATGACCACACGGCAACTAAATATTGGGATATGTATCGTGGACTGATGTGATGGAGATGTGCAAGAGCCATTATATCTATAAATTTCTAGCCATTAATACTCTGGACTACCGCTCGGTATATATGCATCTTTATCCTCCGAGATCCTGTCACCATCTCCCTTGTCATCATCTTCCTGGTCAACTAACATCCTGTCATCTTCCGAAAGCAATGATCGAATCTTCGTCAAAAATGAGGGGTCGATGAGATTGGTAGGCACGGGTGCCGCATGATCAACCCATAAAGGCAGGCTGGCTGCCAAATCGTCGATGAAAGGGGAGAACTCTCCCATATCGCCCCGGCAATAGAGACCTGTGGCGCTACCTCTGGTGACTTCGTTGACGTAAAAGTCGAATCTGTTCGGTTCGTATTCCCAAACACCGATGTCGAGCCTGGCGAAGTAGGTGAGACTGGAGTGGGTGCCAAGTTGAGATCGCTCCCGGATGATGAGCCCTGAAAGAGTGATGGTGGCGAAGTTTACCAGGTCCTGGTACCCTTTCTCCAAGGACTCATCCGATAATCCAGTGTTGACCGGGTCGAATAGCCTGACGTGGGAAGCCATGCTGCTACAATAAAAAAACATTTAGTGCAAACCATCATGGACAAATAAATGAATGGCACCGACGAGAGTTCCTCAAGTGGGATCACCTGCGTAACAGGCTTCCCCTTAACATCCGCGAGATCATCTCCTCCCTCACTGGGCGGAGTGTTCCAGACCCAATACATGCGGCTGACGGCGCCTCCCACCATGAAAACGTGTACCTCTCCAAACTTGGGATCTCGCAGGAGACTGTTGTAAGCCTGCCACAGCCAGAAATCTTTGAATATCATGCCATTCCCCGTCGTCATTCCCATCCACGAACGCTCCCCAATCAACTGGCCATCCCCCGGAAAGTGGACCTGGTCCTCCGCTAACCAAACATCGTTGCCTCCCTCCGAAAAGCCGCGCTTCAACACGCCATCCTTAGGCAGCGGTTCAAGGTAGCTCAGCCTCCTGGTTTGCGGGCGGGTTGTCTTGGTGAAATGGTGGGCGATTTTGTCGAGGTTGGAGATGAGTCTTCCCTTGTCGCCAAATGCCATCATCTCCCTTGGCGGCGGATAAAGGCAAGTCAATTCTGCCAGCTCGTACAGCGCCTGTACAAACTGCGTGTACCGCCCAGCCTCTAGCTCGAGGGCTGTTTCTCTGAGAGTGTGATCAGTGAGAAGAAATATTGAACTATGTTTCTGTATACGAAAATGAGATAGTGTAGACGTACGTGAAATCTCGGTCGAGGTCCATTGAGCTCCCCAATACCACGTCGGCGTCGCACAGTGTCGCCCAGGCGCTATCCTCATGACGTGTACCGGAAAGTGCGCAAGCCAGCATTTCACCGATTTCCCATACCACCACCTCGAATCGCACGCTGGAGACCACTCTAAGTCTTAGAATAAAGTACACCTTGCACAAAATCAATACAGCCCGAGCTTCATGATGGCAAAAGATATAGAATGGGACCACCTACCCACTGCCAGGTAACAACCCACTTCATCCCAGACTTTTCCCGGCAGCCCTCGGGAGTGGGCACCTCAAAGATATACTTTGGAAGTTCGGCCTTAGCCCAATTATACGATTCCTCCGAAATATGGACGGTTGGATAGTTGCTCTTCTCGCGTGCTTTGCTGACAGACTCCGTCGGATCCGGAAGATCTATAGCTTCGTGGGGATCCGCTATAAAAATCAAGTGAAGCACCCGTTTTTCTTGCGCAGGAGATGACCCTTCTGGTGAATCGTAGCCCACGGCGTCCATGACGACCTGGTTGGAGAAGATCATATGTTGGTACCAAACATGATGCACAAAAAATATTCATTCCACCAATAATAGCACCCACATCTGAGTCTTGTGATTCATCAGACTATTCATCGCCGAGTTCACCATCAAGATCGCAACATGAAGAAAAAAGGACATTATTAGCATGGTACAAATGCCGAGAGGGAGAGAGGCTTAACCGTTTCCTTCTCGCTTCCGGAAGCACCCTGCGCGACGGATGCCAAAACATAATGCCGTCAGCACAATGGGGCAGTTCCGGCTGGAGATGAGAGGCATGACTTACCGTATTTTGTGCCCTCCTTTTCTGCTCCTCTCGTGCTGTCTTCAATACCTCCGACGGTACATTGTACTCATCACGTATCATATTTTGCAGCGTCTCCAAGGAAATTCCTGCCCAGTCGGCTGCGGTCGCTTCGCGAAGATTCACCTCCCTTGTTGGCGCCATACCTATGTACTTGTGGCCGGGACAGGTTTTCGGGCAGCCGACATGCTCGTTCTTACTTGTTACATGCTTGCGATGGCCTGTCGTGATTTTCCAGAGATTTCTGTTGTACTTGATTGTGACACAAGCTTTGCAGGTATGTGGGCATACCCCAACTGAGCGGAGCGGCATTTCACCTTGAATCAAGTGGACAATTAATTAATGAGCAAGCTGAGAGAGCAAGTCCACTCGACGTGACGGCGAGGGCTCGCATAACCACACTACAGAGTGCTCCCAAGCAATACAGCTGAACATCATGTTCTATGCAATATACACAGAAATGTCTTGTGCAGTGGGAAGAGACAGTTTCAAGTGTTTTTCTTCGCGTAAGCGCGCTAAAGGCCGTTCCGGCGACTGCCTTGCCTAATCGGGTAACACAGCGCTGAAGGCCGTTCCGGCGGCTGCCTTGCCCAATCGGGTAACCCAGACTCTCCAGTGCAAGCGAATCCAACTCACTTTAGATAGAAGATCTACAATTGTATCAAATGCAGAAGGTTAAGGGAAGTGCAGCAAAGGTTGAGAGAGGGTTTAAGAGAGGGTGATGAAGGCAGATAGCAAGAGACAGCGGTGAAGCCACGATGCAGATGGCCAGCGATTAAACAATTCAGCGGACTTTGAACCTTACTGGACAATCCCGGCAACCTGGCCCCAACTCCCATTACACGAAGAAATTTCAGTAACTGCAGGGCGATATCTGCGCCAACGGTTTCCATGCCTCTATAACATCCAAGGAACAGTAGGTCAGGGATCAATGTCATGACTTTTTACCATTTTCGCCCCATTTTCCCGTCTTTTATTCATTTCGACCCCTGTACACGCCACAAACGCCACCTCTGAATATTCTATTATTCACTGCACTCTTTAGCGACCATCCTCCAATTTTCCCCGCATTTGTACTATTTTATTTCACACTCGTACAAGTGTTTCAGCCCCGAGAGAGATAGAGCTGGCGGAGTTCGAAGGTTCTAGTAACTCCGGCAGTTCCCGTACAAAATCCGTAGTGTGGTATCGATACCACGACTACAAAATTCGTAGTGTGGTATCGATACCACGACTACAACATCTCTAGTGTGGTATCGATACCACGACTACAAAATTCGTAGTGTGGTATCGATACCACGACTACAACATCCGTAGTGTGGTATCGATACCACGACTACAAAATTCGTAGTGTGGTATCGATACCACGACTACAAAATTCGTAGTGTGGTATCGATACCACGACTACAAAATTCGTAGTGTGGTATCGATACCACGACTACAACATCCGTAGTGTGGTATCGATACCACGACTACAAAATTCGTAGTGTGGTATCGATACCACGACTACAACATCCGTAGTGTGGTATCGATACCACGACTACAAAATTCGTAGTGTGGT